AAAACAAAGCAAATGACAATCGATAGACTGCTCACCAAAACACGGAATTCGTGTCGGTAAGGCAACCGTCTTGTCAAATGCTTACGGAACTGGGCGGGCAGACTTGTCTCCGGCAGCGCTTGCACATCTACGTCGACGGCCACGAAGAGGCGAGGGAGTGTTGGAAGACGTGGCGCCTCAGCCTTGAGCTCAAGCGCGTTCGCGAACATCGTCTTGACGGTCTTCTTCTCGCTTCGGAGCGATAGAAAGCTGACGAAACATACTGCGCCGCGGTATTGCTTTTGCTTTTGCTTTCCTTTTATATTGGCTGCTAGTTAATCCCTAGCTCAGCATAAAAAAAGGAAAAGGTTTTGGATCGAACGTTTTCTCGATGTTTCTGTTTAGAACAGAATTAAACATAACCACCAATGTAATTCGAAGAATTTACACTGATAATCACGCTACATCGAAGAAACGGTTGGTGCTGGATTTGAGAAAAGGAAAGCAAAAATTAAAACTTCAATTTGATTCGACATACGTCGATAACAAACGAATTTCTATTCTGGTAAAGGCTAAGGAAAGAAACTCAACCCGGGTCCAGGATAAAACCACTGCATTCTTCGTCCATTTGTGATCGGCACGCGCTCTCACCGCGGCTCGATGTTGTCCGCGCTGTCACCGCGGCTCGATCTTGGTGTTGGACTAACGAAGCAGACAGCAACATCCTTGATGACTTGAGTAGATGAAGTCCTTCTTCTTTGCCTTCGGTCTTGGAGATGGTTTTGGTTATTATCGAGGAAATAAGCCTTTTCTTAGAAACTAAAAAGAGTTAGCTCTTTTTATTTCAGAGAAAAGCCAATTCGCTCGAGGTTTTGGATTCTACATTTGACAAAATAAGGGTTGAAAACTGGTTTCCAATCCTCAAATCATCGGCAAAGCACGTTAGTTCCATGCTGCCAAAGAAATTTAGTCAAAAGTAGTACTGAAAGGAAAATATAACGATGAGGGCAACCAATATAGCAATCGCCACAGGCACCGCTAAATTTCTCTCCAGGATTTGTCGTTGACAGCGAATTGATTCGACTGGCATTGACAAGGTTTTGGTTTAATAAGCGTTCGAAAGCAGATAGCACACAGGATGTGGCTCGAGTTTTAATACCAATGGTAATAAACTCTCACTCTACTTCGAAAAACGGTTTTGAGTTGATAGGAAAGCCTTGTTGAATCATCAGCGAGTCGATTCGAGCTTCTTTGTAGTTGTCGTTGAATTGTCGACGAGGCTGATGGCGGGCGTGTTGATTTTGACGGCGGTTACGGTTGTCGTCGCCACTGCGTTGAGGCTTGATAAACAACCTTTTACAAGGCCGCTTTTCTCCCAAAAAAGGGTAGAAAAGTGTTTTGGTTTAAAGAATATCCAAAGGTAGAACACACGGGTGTGCAGCTCGAATTTTTGTACACTTGGTACACGAAACTCTTGCTTTGACCTTGGAAATGTGAGAAATTGGTCCGGAAAGCTTGAGAATCGCACACAAAAAGCATGCCGCGAGCTTTTGTTCACGCATTGATGAAAACTACGCTCACTGATTCTCAAAGGAACTGATTGATTCTACCGTGATAGTAGAACCGGAGGGAGATTCAGTAAAATCTTACGACGCGGACAACCAATATAGCAATCGTCAGCAGCAATCGTAAGACTTGTCCTGATGAACTCATCTTCGAAGGCGAGAAAGTATCGCTCGACGTTGATAAATTCGTTTTGGTTATGAATACCGGCAAAGAGGGCAACCAATATAGCAATCGCCACGTTCAATGCCGAATTCTGGCTTGATTCAAACTTTCTGACATAAGGAAATAGTATTTCCCCAGTTAACGGGCAATACGGAATACATATTGTTGCCGAAAACTGATCAGAAAGTGGTTTTGGTTAGAAAACGGCTTCAACGCTTTTACAAACGGAAGCGGGTGTTGGTATAAAGGCGTTTCCAAAAGGTAAATACCACACGAACGTGTAGCGCGAGCGTTATTTCACACATGGTGAAGGAACTCTCGCTTTACCTTGGAAAATGGACTTATCTGCCTATCATCTAAGAGTTAGCGAAGGTGTCGATGATGAGCGGGAGGGGCTGGCTTTGCTTTCATCTTTGCACACTTCATGACGAGGAATCGATCGCTCGTCGGTGCTCGATTGTTGGGTTCCTTGCTTCCTCGCTCCATACATTGAGTAGATGCTCGTAGATGACTGGCAGCTTGCTTTTTCAAAAAGCATAAAGGGTGCTGGATATTTGAGGATCACACGCCGAAGCATGCCGCAAGCCTATTTTCGCACGTGGCGAAAGTTAGCTCGCTGATCTCCAAAGGTTTTGGTATTGAAAACGGAATTTAGAGTGAACACTTGGTTCGTTTGCAAAAGAAAAAGTGAATGATGTGAGAAAAGTTAGAAAAGAGAGAGAAAAATTTGGGTAAGAAAGTTAGAAGTGAAAAATATGAAAAGAAAAGTGTATATACAGAAAAGAAGTTAGTTTTTTGAAAAAAAAGAGGGATTAGAAAGGGGAAAAAGGGGTTATGTACATTGGGGAAAGTTCCCAGGAAACGCGCCAACAATTTGCCGTAACGAAAGATTTGAAAACAAAAAACTTTGGACTAAAATGCGCGCAAGTTTTGAATTTAACACTTGTTTTGTTGACCAAAAAATGCGAATTGGGCGATGCGAACGACGCACGCTTGTATACAACACGGGGAAACTATACCTTACTTCTGCGAATGTCAATTCCAAAAGGTCCAGTGCCTCAACCTGCACGATTGCATGCAGGGCATCCCATCTTCACGTCGTCGTCAGCAAGCTGGAGCTCGGTCGACGAGCGTAGACGAGAACACGCAGCTGATCCTTCTATTGGCCGGGTCTTGGAGTGTGCAGCACGTCCAGGACGGGGCGGCAGCCTTTTCAGGTGCCACATTGCATTGGTTTGGTATTGGTTTGGTTCTGATTTCAACGCCGATTTTGACCGATAATGCATTGGGAAACTAGACTCGAATTCGTAACCCGAGACGCACCATGACAAAAGTAATAAAGTCTATCCCGCTTTCTAGCCTCTACCAAAAGGATCACTGAGGTCTAGAGTAAGGACTTGCCACACTTTATACTTCTGCCTTTGCCCCTTGGGCCCGTTCAGACTCCCTCGAACCTAGTATCCTCGACATAGGCCAAGAAAGATTCACGAACCCAAGAAGCCACAACAAAGGGATGAAGCTTGGATTGTTCAGTGGTAGAAATCTTGTAAAGAGTCCCAAATGCATTTCGGTACAATTGTCTAGAGACAAAAGGTTGATCGGCAATGAACAAAACTGAGATACAATTGTACTCATCGCTTGGTCACAAGGTTCTGGTTCAAAACATATTGCACAAAGCAATACAAAGGGTTTTGGCTCAACTCTGACGATATTGGGCAGCATGGAGGCTTGCTCCCAGGAAACTACCCAAAAAGGGCAATTCCCCAAAAAGGCAATTCGCCAATAATCGGAGAGCGCGGCTCTCCGGGGGGCGCCGGGGACTACGGTATCACAGGCGAGGGGCGCGGGATAGGAAAATCCCTTCGAACCTCTGCAATAAGCAGAAAGGTTTCGACATTCCCCCCCGATAATGCAAAAGCACCAAAAACATTAAAAAATTTTAGAACGATCCGAGGCGCGGGAATCGACCATGCGAGAGCCTTTCAGGACCCAGCACTGCGTGAGTCTGAAAATAAAACCCCTTTGTTGGTTGTTCGTCACGTTTTCTTCCTTTCAGATGCCCAAAAATGGCGTGAACTTGCCCACGAGCTTGTGCAGCACCGCCTGGAAAATCCGGGCGTCTTGAAGAAGTTTGTGGCCGGGGATGAACATCGATTTGCGCTTTTTTATAATGATGGTTCGTTAAAAAAACGAGGGCAAATGAAAAAGCATCGTCTTAGAGGGAGGCATGGCGAATCACCATGCGGCCGTCATCGTCTCGTTGGCAAGGAGGAGATGGAGGGGGCTGAGGTATTTTAAGAATTATTTGGCACTTAGAAGTCGTTAAAAGTCGCTTTAAATTTTAGCGAGCCTATTTTAGGTAATTATCATCGACTGCACCCACGACGTCTTCAAATGCGGTGAATACGTTGACGTGGCCCACTTCCCAACTCTACGCTACTATCGTGACAAAAGGTGATCAGCGCGTAATATCGTCGCGTAGTTATCAGAGAGCTTCGAGAAAAGCCAAAATCCCTACAGCCAAAATATCGACAGCCAGAATCCACGGTTAAAATCCCGACAGCCAACCAGGATAGCCAGGATCCACAGTAAAAATCCCGACACTCAAAATCCTGAAGCTTCAAAATACCGACATCCAAAAATACCGACAGGCAGAATCCCGGCATCTCGAACGTCGACAGCCAAAATCCCAGGTTACCGACATGCAAAATCGCAGCTTAAAAGGCAGTCGCATTCAAACTAGCGTCTGGAATATTTCGATTTATTATGATTGTCGGTATTATGATTGTCGGCATTATGACTGTCGGTATTTTCGCGGTCGGCATTATTCCTCGCACTTTAGTTGCAAAAGGCGTGGACCACGGAACTGGACATGATGACGGTGGAGGACATCAGTGATTTGGTCATCAGGTGAATTCCGTCAAAATTTCGCAAATCCTTCCGTCGTAGGTCTATCGACGATACGGTACATCGAGTCAACGAGGACCTGGTTGGTCGCTTGATTAAGCTTAAAAACGGGTCTTTTGATTATCGGGGGGGGGGTGGTGAATTCCTTAAGCTCGAATTTTTCGAATCTAAAAAGCCAAAATATTGGGTTTTTGTTTTGCTATCCTTTGATCGAAAAAGTATAATACATATTTTTATTGAAAGTGCCGCGAGCGCGATTTTTTAATCAAACAAATTAAATTTTATTGAAACACTAGCAAAAACTCCACCGATTCATTTCTAGGCATTTTTAGACCTGGGTTAAAAATCCGGTTCCCCCCCCCCCGTTAACGCAAAAGAACCCTTAAAAATTGCCTTTTAGGTTCCATACTGGCGTGAGGGGATGCTGGAGGGTTATGGCCATCCCCTCGACACGGTTCATCTGTTCTTCGGTCACGACGAGAATGAAGAAGCATATAGGAGATATCAGGAAACGGCTGAGGCGTTGAAAGGGCACTATACTTTCGGAGCCCTCATCGATGAGAAGGTGTCACAGTGGTAGCAATTATCTTAATTGTTTAAAGAGCGTGTTTCATCGAAAATTATATATTTTTGTCGGTTTCCAGGGCCACCCATCCCGCAATAATCACCATGAAGCCGCAGGATACAGAGGTGTTTTTTTTTCAAAAGACCAACTTTTCGCTTAGCATCCATTTTTCTAATATAAGAAAAGCGCAAGTGTTTCTGAGCTTTTTTTACTATTCCTAAACGTAAAAACTCTACGAATTTTTTATTACAAAATCCAAAAAATCGATCTTTTGACCAGCATTGGGCAATTTTTGCCAAAAGCTTCGACCTAAAAAATTTGTTTAATTTTTGGATTAAAAAATTTTGGTCTCAGCGATAATGCGAAAACTTCAAATGACGTGAAAACGCGTTTTTAACAGGTTTAATAAAAGTTTAAAGACGAAAGCCGTCGCCCATCACAAGGAATGGACCGTCGAGGCGCTGACACGCTACATTCGATTCTCGTCTCGGCCGCTATTGGTGAGCAATATGTTGAAGCTTGGCTTCCGGCTGCTAATTTGTCAGCAATCCTTGTAGTTTATAAACTACAAAAAACCCATAAATCCCACGAGCAGGCATTAGCCGCTGCCGAATTTCGGGCTATCCTCTCTGTTTCGGCGAAATGTTTCCGACGCACGCGCCACCTGGCTTACGTACGTCTAAAATCGAGTAGCTAGCCACGATTGCTAATCATGTCTACTCCCTCATGTCATTTTTAGTTTTGACCAGTGGCCCCCGTCCGACCCCATTTTATCCTTAACTTTGCAGAATTGTCCTAAATTCAGATGACAAAAATAAAAAACACCTCCTGTCCCTTTATATAGTCGAATCCCAACTTCCGGTCTATGCTAATTGTTCCTAACCAAGAGGTTTTCACAAAAACTTCAATTAAATGTCGAAAATAGGCGAATTTGTTAAATCTGTTAAGCGTGCAGTCATCTCCGGGCCATTACGCACCTATTGACGTATCACGCATACCTTAAAATTCATCCTCTATCGAGATATCCTCCGGACAGACAGACGGAAGTGGATGCAAAGTGGCACACACAGACACACACACACACACACAGACACTATTTTTTTATATATAGTAGGATTTTGGTGATTTGGAACACAGAAAAAAAAATCTGAATGGTTTAGCACGACCTCTCCAAGCCACGTGAAGCTGTGGAAGCCATCGATTCGGATTGCGTCTTATTGTTCCTTTTCGACCCAAAGGTATCTAAGCCATGGAAGAAGCATCAAAACCTAAAAAATAATTGTTAGATGGCCGTGGCTGCTCGTCCGCTCTACGAATTGGCACAGGATATCGAGTATCGGGAGACAGTACCGCTGGTGGTTGGAACGGTGAATGGGTACGTTATAGGTGGAAGACATTAATCTGACATTTCTCAGCACATCACCCTTCGGCCTGGCCTTCTCGACGTGGGCCGGGTTGAAGCAGTTCGACCGCGCCCAGTGGGTTTTGTAAACCACAATGAGGTAGGGGCTAGACTTTACCTTATCCCCCCATCCGGAAGTTCCCAAAATCTTTCGACATTTCCGACCTTTGGCGGGATTTTGGCTCGGAGAATCGATAGAGCATCAAAAAATATACTGCATAGTATGCCCAAAATAATGTAATATAAAAAGTTTGGGAGCTTCCGGCTGGGGCAAAGTACAGTGTTACCGAGGTAGTATATCTAGAAATAAGTATGTGAATACCAACACTAATACAATCAGGAAATCGACGTCGCTTACGTGTTGCCGGTCGACCCCGAGAATCCGCTGGATTTGAAGAAATTTGTGAAAAAGCCAGAGGAGATGGCAAAAGCTAGAGGTAAACCTTGCGGGGAGACCGGAAAATTCTTCCAGAATCCACCCTTCACCTCGATTTCCTGAAAAACGTTGCGCTGGGCGAGAATTTTGAGGATTGTAGGGGGATGGCGTCGAGGTGAAACTGATTTTTGCTTTTCACTTTTAATGCTGTTTTTCTTTAGAAAATGGGACGAGCCAGGCACGCTGCCACGACCACCACTACACAACGAGGCACACGATGAACTGTAGAGCCGGAGCTTACGCTATAAATTATTTTTTTTTGGAAAAGAATTCAAAAAGGAAATAAACTACTTAGAGCTATTCATTTCTCATTTTTTGAGGATCATTTTTGCCGACCCAAAGTCTTTGGAAAGGCAAAGTCAAGCCTACGTCTACGCTTGGCATCATACAAAAGCCAAGCCAAGTTTACAAGGGAAGGGCACACGTACAGTTTGGAATTTCGAAAAACGCTCGCGGCTACCCCCGGGTAATCGACTACGGCGAACACGATGCCGTTGTCCGATTTTTCTATGGAGGCCTGTGGACACTTCCGGAAAAACATGATTTATGCGAAAGATTAGCATCCGGGGAAGGTTTATTAGGCTCTGCCATCGGTATGGAATCACCGGTTGAATGGCCGATTGGTACGCAACTAGCTTGATAGGATACTAACGAGTGCACGGATCCGCTCACGATTTCTTGGTTCTGCTTTTTGGCATTTTTTTTTGGTTTTAGTTGGAACTTTGGCCGAAAAATGGATTTTTTTGTTTTCCAAAAAAAATAGTCTAAAAGAATTTTTCAAAGCTTACGGTTAGCTATAGTAAAAGACAATTTAAAAATACTTCCCTTTTTATGTTCGAAAAACTGAATCGTGCGGGAAATCCTATGAAGTCTATTCTAAAAATCCCGGATTTCGGATTAGCGTCGCCTTTCGAGGTCTCAAAAACCCATCCCAACTTCACCAGATGCCAATCCCCACTAACCATAATCCCTTCAAAGCCCCCGATCGCCGCGGGACGCCCTCCCCCTCCCCGCCACCGGCACTTCTCAAGGCGCAAAAAACGCGCGAGAGAAAGGCAGTGGGCTTCAAAAAAACGAGGGCATTCAGGCTGTGAGTATGATTCGGTGGGGGCTCACCTTCCGGCCCGAAACCAGTTCACACCCCCAAGGGTTGCAATTATTGGGCGGGCACAGAAGACACAGATGCACTACGCAGCTGCTGCTCACAGCTATATATACTGTAGCGGAGGAGGGGGGTGTGATACTCGGAATATTCCACATGACTCCTAAAGACGAGGCAGTACCCGGCAAGACCGTGCGGATTGCGCTTGGATTGGCGGTAATTGGTGGGTCCTTAATTTCGACATGTTCGCTATTTTCCGGATATCTTAACGACATCAGAATTTGTCTTTTTTTCTAGGCTTCTCCTCGCTTCTCATCTTCTCCGCCACCATCCTCAGCATGATCGACGACATCGACAAGGAGCTGTCGACGGCCTTCACTTCTGTTAATGTTGGATGTTTTCACAAAAAAATTTGAACCCTCTGGTAATGGGAAAAGTCAAAATCCCGACTGGCCAAAATGCCGATAATGAAACTCCCGACACCCGTAATCCCGACAACCAAAATCCCGACATGCAAAATAGCTGTTTAAAAAGCTGCTATTCAAATTGGCGGCAAGAACGTGTCGGCATTTATGCTGTCGGGATTTTGACTGGCATTCCTTCTGACCAACCCCATTCTAGTCGGAGGCCCGCGAAATGTGGCAAGCGCTACGGCAGATGGACGATGGATTGAGTGGGAGGAGGCGGCGACAAATTGTGCAGGAATACGGTATGGTCTAGAGTGGCACTTATTCAAATCAGATTTGAATAAGATTCAAATTGTTCAAATCAAGCCGATTTGATTTGAACTGGAACCGATCAAATCAAATCAAATCGATTTAATTTGAGTTCCATAAGTTCAAATCAAATCCAGCCGATTTGAATAATTTGAATAAGACCTCATAGAAATGAACCCAACGCAACTCGTAATTCGTGCACCGCTCTTTCCCTATAATCTCTTAGCATTGTTCCAGCGTCCCAGTTAACGATTCCTTATACATTTCTTATTGTTTTTACCCCATGGCTTTTCCAAAGAAAAACCATAGCGCAGGCTAAATCTGACAAATAAAACCGTCTGGCTCAATTTTATATAAAGGTCATCAAAACGCCTCACGAATAAAGGACACCTAAATGTGCAGAAACGGCGCTACCAAAAGCCCTCCGAACCGCCGATCTTCAATTTGCATCCTTGATAAGCCTGTTGTTCAAATCCCAAATCAAATCGATTTGATTTGAGTTGGCCTGCCCCTAATTCAAATCAAATCGATTTGATTTGAAGTTGATTTTTTCGCACTCAAATTTGCTAATTCAAATCAAATCAATTTGAAGCCGATTTGATTTGAATAAGCACCACTCTAGTATGGTCTGATCACTTTGGAGGGCACCAGTCTCGCTCTCCCTCTCTCTCGCTCTCACTCGCTCTCTCTGCCTCTGTCTCTCTGTCTCTCTCTCGCTCTCTCTCACCCGCTCCCTCGCTCTCTAGCGCCTGGTCGTTCTCTCTCTCTCTCTCTCTCTCTCTCTCTCCCTCTCTTCAAGGTGTATACGCCGCAATCTAAGTATCGGTTCCTTCGATATGTCCTTATTTCCGACCAACCCAGCATAAGCCTTATACGTATCTTCCGTACGCGTTAAGGGCTTTGTTTCCAGGCCTCGCCGACCCGGAATACCCAACGGCGTACACCACGGCTTCCCCACCATCCTACGCAGCCACTAAACAGCGATATTCGGGACCAAAATATGGATATGGCTATACTAAGCTGAAATGTTTGTTGTTTATATTTAATGCCAGTTTTTTAAATGAGAAAATGGGGAATAGAGATTTCTGCGTAGCTTCCCGGATAGCCCAGAATCTACTAAAATTCATACACATTAGATGGTATTAATTTCCTTATCCCTTCAGGCTGCTGTGCCGACAACCCGGCGGCGGCGCTCAACGAGAATTTGCCCGTTTCCTACAAATGTCCGATCGGCTACAAGGGACCGCCCGGACCGCCCGGGTACGTTTTTTAACTGTTAGGCATTGTTTTATCAAATTGTGCAGAGAAACCGGCGAAACCGGAACTCCAGGTGTTCCCGGCTACCCCGGCACCCCGGCCGCTAACCTCTATGCCAACCCTGCGTAGGTTTGCTTAAATTATCAGCTAACCAGGGTTGAAAAGCCGCTTCGCGACTTTTCAACCCTGGCCCCGTCTTGCACCGCATGCTGTTCTACGCTTTGCATAATTGCGCTGAATTCAGATGACCAAAAAATGAAAATGATTCGCTTCTGACCCTTTATATAGGCGACTTGCCACTTCCGGTCAATGCTAATTTTTCCTAGCGAAGAGGGTTTTACAAAAACTTAAATTTAATACCGAAAATGGCTGATTTTTATAAATCTGATATGTGGGCAGTCATCCCTAGACCATTACGCACATAATGACGTATCGTACCCACCCCTAACTTCTTCCCCTATAGAGATACGACTGGAACAACGATACGGAAGTGGATGCAAAGTGGCACACACACACACAGACACTATTTTTTTATATATAGTAGGATAGACGATTTGTTATCAGCCTGTCGAAAGCTCGCTTTGTCGACATTTCCCTCCTTAAAATCCCATTTTTTCTTGATATTCCATTCTTTCAAAAAATGTACTTTTTCGGTATTTGATTTTGCCGACGCTCCATTTTGTCGAAATTTTGATTTGTCGACATTGCAGTTAGTCGAAATTTCACCTTGTCGGCGTTTTAATGGTTTGAAACGCCTTTTTGCCGGCCTGTTTGTCGAAAATGATTTTGTCGAAATTGCACCTTGTCGAAATTTTATTCATTGACAATTTCAGCATTTCAACCATGTAGAAAATTACAATTCCTGCGGATTGATATTTCGACAAAATTCAATAGCGACCAGCAGTTTGACAAAATCATTTTTTGAGCCATCCTGATTTCAAAAAATTAAGTTCGACATTCTAATTTTCGATAGAGTGAAGTGTCGGCCAAGTGAGATTTCGACAAATAGTACTCGACATGATGAATGTAAACATTTTAATTTTAGACAAATTCAAAATATATATTAAGGAGCGCTCCCGCTCGTCCTGGCACCTATTCTCCCGCTGCCCAATACGGAGCCGACGCCTATGCGCAGCCACAGCTCAAGCTGTGTGATGAGCCTTGTCCGGCCGGTCCGCCGGGTCCCTGCGGAGTTAAGGATAAGTTCTTGCTTTATTTACTTAACTTCTTTCGTTATATATTTACTTATTTGCTTATTATTTTGTTTATTTTTTTACCTTACTTCATTTAGTGTCCTTTTTTGCGTTTTTACCGTCGGTTTTACGGTAGTTTGTATGGTTCTAAACTTAATAATCGCACTTTTTGGTACTGGAGTCTTAGTGAGGGGACAAAATTTTTACAGTGATCCCCTAGGGTTTTTGTGGTTGACGTCAAAAAGGTCAAAATTTTCGATTTTTAGAAAGTTTTTTAACCAACTTTTATAACCGTCGGTATGGGTTGAAAACAAAAATTACCCCCCCGCTAACAGTCCAGTACCTGCATTTTTCAAGCCCGCGCGGCCAGGTGGGACACAAGGGCATTCGCGGGGCGTTCGGCGAACATGGCAGACCCGGAAAATCGGGCAAACCGGGCCCGCAGGTCGGTTGTATTTAGCATACGTTTTAACCCCGTTTAGGGTGAGTGTGGCCAGCGTGGCCAGGCTGGATATCCGGGACTCAAGGGGCCAGCAGGTGCCAATGGCGTCAAAGGAGGGCACGGATTGCCCGGCAGAAAGGGAATTTCTGGCTCGATTGGGGGTGTGTTTTTGGGCCTAGGGCTTGAATTTATTTTGTAAATAACTAAATGCAATATACCTTACGATACGGTACGATACGATACCTGCATACCTTATAGTGGCTGGCCCACGCGGCCTTGGCGGTCAATCCGGGGACTATGGCCCTCCAGGGCTCCAGGGACCGTGCGGAAGACGCGGAACACAGGTTTTTTTACACAAGATATGCGTTATTTAATTATTTTTATTGGATTTCTACAGGGTATCCCACAAAAACACCCTCGCTAACCCGGTGAAGAAGTTTTGGATCGGAACGATAGTTGCACCATTCGAAAGCCCTTAAAAACGACGACTTTGCAACAATCTTCACAACCATATTTCTATTTGAACGCGCTACTTTACAGCGCATTTCACAACGTTCTGGAACGTCGTCTGCATCTAATTAACGACAACTTCCGGCCATTTTACTTGGTAAACTTGAGGCAAATTAGCTCGTAGAACCTTACACAATGACTTGTACAATATCGAGTTCAAATAAAAAGCAGGTTTCGAGGATCGTTTGAAACTCGCCGTTTTAAGGGCTTTCAAGTGGTCGCACTACCATTCCGATCCGATACTTCCGCGACGAGTTGGAGGGGGTGTTTTTAGGGACTGTATAGTTAACGTAACTGTCGACTACAGAGGGTCCCAATAAAAACATTTCCTCTAACTCGGCGCAGAAGTATCGGATCGAAATGGTAATCACACCATTCGAAAGCCCTTAAAACGGCCAGTTGTAACAATTTTCAAACCCTGGTCTAAATTTAAACCCGCTATTTTACAAGCTATTTTGTAAAATTTTACAATTTTCCGGGGTTGCCCGCGAGCTAATTTGCTTCAATTTCTCCAAGCAAAATGATCGAAAGTAATCGTTAATTAAATGCAGAGGCCGTTGTTTAATGTTTGGAAATTCTGTGTAAAATTGTTTCATTAAAACATAGTTTTAAAGATTGTTACAAACTCGCCGTTTCAAGGGAATTCGCAAGGTGTAGCCACCGTTTCGATCCGATACTTCTGCATCGGGTTATAGGGAGTGTTGATTGGAACACCCTGTACTCAATGTCTCTAATTGTATTCGATGCTAATTGTATTTCGCAGGGTCCATACGGGATCGTGGGAAGTCCAGGCAGTGCGGGTGCCCCGGGAAGACCTGGGCGGGACGCTCTCTACTGTCCGTGCCCTCCTAAACAACACCTATCATCATCATACATCCCACGTGACATCCAGCCACAACAACCACAGTACCCCACCCCTCCACCACAACTGCCACCCCAATATCAGGTATGTCGGTCCTTTCGCATTAACGGGGGGGGGAGGAGGGATTGTTACGCTAAAAAACTTTTGTTTTTCTTAACGATCCAATTTCTCTTCAGGACTTGTTTTACGCTGTTTTTTACGATGACTAACGCAAAACGCAACGCAGCGCATGACAATTTTCGGTAAAAAATACAGAAATATAGGTTTTTTTTAACCAAAACTCCAGTTCCCGTGCAATATCGGGGGAGGGGGTAAACGAGGGCCCTTATTTACGGTCCAATTTTGCTAATAAAACTAGGGAGAATTTTTCCACAGTTTTTACGATTACGAAAAACAAACACTACAAATTTTTACAAAAATACAAAAAATATCGATTTTTCGACAAAAAATAATAGGGCTTTGCCCCGTAAAACAGTGTATTTTGCTAAAAAGACTATTAAATCACTAAAAATTTGAGTCTGCTACCATAATTTCTGGGCTTATACAAAAAAAATCGATCACCCCCCGATAATGCAGAAAGCAGCGGTATCTCGGCTTTCACGAGAATTTGACCAACGACCTTTCCAGGAACAACTACCCGCAGGGTATCCAATTCGACGCGTCGACCCCGGTAAACGAGGGATTTGTGGGCGATACAGAAGCCTCGTACACCGGCCAGCCGGATGATGATGACGTCGCGTCTACCGTATCCGCGGTACGTCGAACATAAATTGTAGAATCCTAGTGTTTAGGCATATTACATCGAGCCCCGCTTCACGCCAGGACCTCAACCCCCAGCCGCGCCACCACAGGAGATTGTCGGTCGGTTTTTAGATTCGCTTGCCTACCAGTTCTACCACTTCAAGCCGAAATCAGGGAAACACCAAAATACCGAGATCAAAATCCTAATCGAAATCCCGACACCAAAATACCGACATGAAAAAGGGCGAAATCTAAAATCCCGACAGCAAAAATCCCGACAGTCAAAACCTCGACCGACCAAAATCCCGACACCAAAATCCCGACATGGAAAAGGCCGGGATTCAGAATCCCGACGGAAAAATTACGATAACCAAAATACCGACATGCCAAAATCCCGACACCAAAATTGAAACAGCTATAATCCTGACAACCAAAACACCGACAGCCAAAATCCCGGCAAGCCAGGTTGCTTTTTATGGCGAGTTGAAGTGCGCATTAGCTCAAAAATATGTCGGCGTTTGGTTGTCGGGGTTAAGGCTGTCGGGATTTTTGCCTTCCGGATTGGGGTTTTCGGGATTTTTACTGGAATTCCAACGTTCATTTCAGATTATTTGAGCCGAAACTTTGCCGAGGTGAAACGCGCCGATCCGACGCCACGAAAGCGGGGCGGGTAAGGGTTCAACACGTCCGAGTCTCAAATGCTGGAAATGTTATAAAAATTCAATGAATCCTGTGCGAATAACTTCATTCAGAAAAAGACTGGTTGACTGGCCGCGCCTCTTCGAAAAAGCGGGAAACCACATGATCCACACTGGGACGACGCCGAACCGCCCGAATCCGCTGGTCGGCCGGCGATTGCCGCAGAACCATCGATTTGTCAATGCCCAATAGGGCAATTTTGGTCTCGCGTCGATTTTCCGATTTTTTCGGCATTACATAAAGATTTATTCTGGGCATCCGTGGGGTAGAGGAAACAAGTGCATGCGCAGACATCGGCTTAAGGGGCTAGGAAGTCAGAATAGACATTCTTGGGGGCGAACTTATTTTTCACAAACTAAAGGAATACATCAAAAAATGCCGCAAACCCGAAATGCCGAATATCGACATGCCAAAATCCCGATAACTAAAATACCGACATGACAAAATCCGTCAACAAAAAAATACCGACGACCTGGATGTCGACATGTCAGAGTTGTTTAGAAAGAATTGGCATTGAAAATAGATTTCAGCGTTTTCTCCGTCGTGGTTTTGACTGTCCAAATTATGGCTAGAATTCCAAACTTTCATGGCAAAAATGTAAGAATTAGACCGCACGGCCGGAAAACCGGCGAGAAAAATAGATTTATTCCGTTTATTTTGTACGTTGTAGGCGGAAACGCAAAACATTACAGCAGCGTTCTCTTACATCGGAACCCAATCTCTGCCATGTTCAGCTTCAGCACGACGTCGGTACGGGCGCCTAATACGCGGTCCATGTTCCGGGATTGTCGGTCGCGTTAGTAAAGTGAGCGTAAATTCGACGTTCCCCCGTCACGTAGCGCTCGAATCGATCTTTGATGTACGCTCGGCGAGCTGTGCCTCAAACTTGCTAGTGGGCCTGAATTGTCACGTAAGCCTTTACGCTCGCATACTCCGTCCAGCCGCCCTCACAAGCCTTTATAATCCCCGAAGCAGACGTTGGTCCATTGGTGTCTGCTGTATCTTCTCGCCAGAACGTCAATTTTGTTGAGGAACAGAATCATGGCCGTCTTTTTGCCAGGAACACCTGGATTTGTTGACGACACGTTTTGAAAGGTGCAGGCTGTACTTCAGCCGGTTCTAAAACCGGTGGTTTGAAATGAAGGCGGTTCCCCGACCACTAGTATCTCGCCATCGTCCAGTTTCTGGTTGTATCCGGATATTTCGGCAACGAATAGCACGCCGGAGACGTTGTCGAAGCAGTGGATCCATTTTCGTTGTTCAGATCTTTGCCACGCCAGACGTCGACCATTCCCCAACCAGGAGGCGTTTTTGGTGTGTGAATGGAGTTCTGGTGAAACCAGGCCTATTTTATTCTGCGGAATTTTGCGCTGATTCCGAATATGTTTTTCATTTCTGCTAAATAGCTCGATTTCAAAAGTTATAGAAATTTTAAGATCATTTTAGCCCAAATTTTCCCCTCTTTAGGGACCATTATATTGCTTTTTCCGGCTGTTTTTCCAAAAATAAATATCGTCACCCTATTCAGAAAAAATTTTTCTATCGAATGAGCTATTTAACTCAAAATTGTTGAAAATCGAAAAAAATCGACGATACTTGGTATGGGCTGCGATTTTGTATGGGATAATGGTGAAAAACAGACTATTTCTCACCCCCTGTAAACCATATCGTCGATCGGCAGTAGCTCACTAATCAAATCGTATGATTCGAGATCAGAAAAAGATTCTCTACTAGATGAGGCTACTTAAACAAAAATTAAAACGTTATAACAAAAAAAGTAGCACACAGAATAGCATATGGCTACTCTGGGCCTAAAATTGATCGTAAAATAGCTGTAACTTTTGAAATCGAAGGCTATTTAGCAGAAATGGAAAACATATTCGGAATCAGCTGCAAAAATTCTGCACCAGACAGAGGCCTGGTTTCCTCAGAACTCCATTCACGCAAAAAACGTCTCCTTGTATGGCAGGTCTCGTTTGAGGGTTTTGCTAGGTGACGTAGCCCGGGACGTAACGTACGGGAAAACGCCAAAATCCTGACAGCGAAAATCCCGACATTCAAAATCCCGACAGCCAAAATCCCGATCGCCAGAAACCCGAATTTTCAAACGATTTATGGATAAAACTACTGGAAAGATCACATTTTGCCTGTCCGGAATTATGAAAATGAAATCCGGAAATTTTTATGAAATAAATAAACAATCCATACCTCAAAACAACGTCCTTATAGGGAAATTCGATTTCATTAATTCCAGTGGTAGGGATTCGAGACCTGAAATTTTTGCCAATTTTATGCCCCTGAGGCTACCGTATGACGTCCATCTGGCTGGGCATATAGTCTGGCTCGCAGATCCGGAAGATCTCGTCGAAAAACTGAAATTTGGATCAAAACCCTCGTCAAATGGGTCACTATGTGGCCGAGTCGAGCAACTCGATCTCGCTGCGTCGGCTGATGACGTCGCGGATGCACGGTGAGCGGTAGATGCTAAAAAATGTCGATTCAGGCTTGATAAATTGATACTTAAGCTACTTTTTAAAAATCCCTCTATGTCGAAGTCCCGACAGTCAAAATCCGGACAGGCCCAAATCCCGACAGTCCGATGATATGCAAAATAGCTGTTTAAGTGGAAGCGCCATTCAAACTAGCGTCAAGAATGTGTCGGGATTTTGGCCTGTCGAGACTATAGCTGTGGGTATTTCGGTGGTCGGTATTAAGAAGCCAGTTAAAC